TGACCATAGTGATACGAAGCTTCATGGTATGGGAGCTTTTTTTTTTATCATCCATAAATCAACGTTTCAGGTTGTCATCTTATTTTCTCAAATGTTTGAGTTAGTAGGTCAAATTTTTTGATTCATGGCTGATTTTTAGTGGGAGAAACATTCATGTGTCATTAATGCTCAAAAAGAAGAATTAAACACGTTCATGCCACACTTCCCATTTTACTTTAAGAACAGACTCTAAGAACATATTGATAGCGTGAGAACTGATATCCTTCGATGGTCATCTTAACCACATAGGTCTGGCTGTGAGTACTGAAGCTCCACCCACAAACTTCCTGTTTGTGAGTTGGAGCCAATCCAAAGAATGCTGGCTTGAGGAGGGAGGAGTTAAATGGGTTGTTTCAAACAGAAGATGAACAACAGCTTGTATTTTAATGCTTTATGAATAAACTGACACCGCCCTTCTTCAATAAAATGTAAGCTTCCATCAACAAAGTTTATTCATTGAGTCTTTAATATTTTGATTTTTCATGGTTTGCAAAGAAAAACAAAAAGTAGTAGAATGTAGTAGATATGTCTCTGTCAGACACATACATTGTATTTATACACAGTGGTATAAAGGATTTTGTGTATCTGTCCTTTTAGCAGTTGAGCTGAATCAGTCTGTTAGAGAAGATGCTCTGCTGCCTGACCAGTAAGTGGTTTGATCAGTCACGTCCTCTCCACAATAACTTCAAAAGTCTTCAGTTTGCAGCCAATCACAGAGCCAGCCTTTCTGATTAGTTCGTTGGTGTCATCAGCTCTGATGCTGCATCCCTCCTCAGACCACAGCAAAGTACACAGCACCCACCACAGCTAACAGACAGAAAACTCAATAAATAAGCTTTCTCAGCTCTGTATACAGCCTGGTCTATACAGGTCTACCAGTTCAGCCTGTGATCGATGTGGATGCCCCGATGCTTATACTCCTCCACCACCAGGATAAATGCAGGTCGTGTAGCCGTCCTCCCAATCGTCTCTGGTATCCTCATTCAGAGAGCAGATATCCCACCCGCAGACCACTCCACAAAATCATTCAGTCATCAAATTCTGCAGAATCACAGTATTTCTGTTGGTGGCATATGCTGGAGATGTACTCAAAATCTTCCTAGTATGAGGTGAACATGAATGGAGACTCACCTGTGCAGTAAGAAGCTGTGAGCCGCCCACATTGGCGTGGACGTCTGCGGTGTAAAAACACTCGTGATAATTCACTTCAAAGTAACTTTTAAAAAAGAGAAAAAAAGAGCCAAAAAGACAAATTTTAGGCCTTAATGTAAACTCCGAACCACGTTTGACGTGAAAACTCGCTGAAGTCAGAAACTGGATGAAAACACGGTGCTACAGCGACACCTAGTGCTGAAAGCGGGGTGTGTCACTGACTGCCAGCTTTGATGAAGAAATGAAAACATGGCACACAGGAAGCGCTTGGATAAACAGATTTCGCTACATAATAACGAAATTGATCATAAACGTCATAAAGCCTAATAGATGAAGGTTTTCTGGAGGCTCT